CTCATTATCTTTTTGTATCACTTGCCATTCCTTTTTAGATTGTAAGCTCTCATGAGCAGGGCCCTCCTAACCCTCTTGTCTTGATTTGTATTGTAACTGCAAAGTCTCCCTTTCAATTGTAAAACTCTGCCCAAGCTGTTGGCACTATATCAATCCAGTAAAATAATAAGAATGCTGAAAATAGACTTTATTGTACCCCACAGCATTTTTATTCTAATGTGTTTAAGTAAGGGGGTGGAGGGGTGACAGCTGATTTACTTAGGGAATTTACAGGAGGGGAGGTAAAAAAGTGAACTCAGCATTGGAGTAAAATTCATTCTTTGCCCAATTAATAGGCTGGATATTGGAAAGTGACACAAAAAGCTATAGAACTACAATTCTGGTGTCACCCACCCTTGCTATACTGGGATTCAGAGATGTGTTAAGCACAAGACCGGCTTAACAGAGCCACAAGATAAGTTGGTAGGTAAAATAATTGACCTATATACTGTATGTTTCAAAGCTGTTTAGCTGCAATCCCACTTCATGCAGTATAATTAAAATGGGGGAGATTTGCTAAAACGGGTGCAAATCTGGGGCAGCTGTCCAGTGTAGCCAATCAGCTTCTAAGTTCAGCTTGTTCAGCAAAGCTGGCCATAGATTGTAGAATTTTCTTGTTCAATTTCCTTTAGATTTACCTTCAATTATGTAGTACAAGGGCCTGCCTGATGGCATACAAAATTGAAAGTGTTTAGGCCTGTCATAGTATATGGTTTTGGTAAATCCGAAGGAAAATTCATAAGGCTCACCATTAAACAAAGGTGTCCACAATCATTAAGCTTTATACTTCAAAATTTGACAATAAAACCTGGAAGCTGATTGGTCTCTATACAGAGCTGCACCAGATTTTGCACTCTCCAGTTTTAGTAAATCAACCCCATTATGTCCAAAATTGTATCTACAAATCAATTTTGCCATGCTGCTTAGACATGTTACTTGTAGTCCTTCTATGGTTAGAAGACTGCAGACCGCCTACCATCAGTTCAATGTGCTACTATTTTACAAACTTTTTGCAGAACTCCAGTCAAAAATAAAAATATAAAAATAAATAGCCAATTGAAAGATAAATTAGCAAAACCAGCTTTTGGTTCAATATCTGCCTTCAATCCAGAGACCCCCCATCCCCCAAAGTACTTTTTTCCGCCTCTAGGTGTCCTCAGTCTGATGACCAGCGTCTTTTAACCCCCTTCCTCTGTTCCCAGGTTGGCATGGACCTATCCAAGCCTGGAACTAGACAGTGAAAGGAGAAGTAGTACAGTGATGAACTCATCTTCCTGTCACTCTGATCTCTCCTTCTATCAGTATACTTCTCAGCACATGAACTTATTGGCTCCTTGTGCGGTTTCTTCCTCTCACACTCCAGTCCTGCTGTACAGGAGACTGCAAGAAACTGATACTAGGTCAAATTCAGGTTCTTGCACTGTAAAAATACAATAATTAATGCACTATTGATTACAGGACTGCATTAATATTAGTCTATATTTCTTGTGACAGTGTGAAACTCTGCCACTATGTAAATGGGCATAAAAGTGGCACAGAATTCTCCAAGCTACAGTTTGACAGACTCTGACAGGTTGATTGTGAACAGAGAGAAGGTTGTGTTCGAAGCTTTCTCCAGATTTGGTAGTTCTGGATCAAGGCCGGGAGTTTGAAGGTTCCAAAGAATATTAGGTGGGATAGCACCTTTATTCCGGTGTCCAGGCTTTGCCAATTGCCGGCAGCCTGTAAGTTCACAGTTGTGCAAGGGAAATATAAGCTTCACGGGAGTTAGGCTGCTTTCACACTGATCCGTTTTTCTTCTGCTTTTGTGTTTAAAAAAGCGGGGAAAAAAAATGTCAAACAGGAAATTGATGTTGCACTAATCACAATAATGCCACAGACATTCCAAAACAAATAATGAGATGAAAAGACAATAGATAATACACCATAACATAATCAGTAAATGGAAGGAATATGGTTGTGAAGGGAAAGGTGAAATAATAAAGGTCCAAAATGAGGATCAAAAGGTGTAACAGACAATAAACCGTGACCGTGGGCAAAACGCATGAAAATGATCAGGGAAAAATAAAATATTAACTAAATCACAGTAATAGTGGGACATATGAGTCCGTCATAACATAAATGAAATAACGTGAATACAACTGATGAGAAAGTGGAGCAAAATGTGTAAAATACAAAATGAAGTGCTTAAATATTAAAAGTGGACAAACCACTTATCACAGATGAATGACAATAACAATGCACAGTGAGGCCAAAAAATGTGACCATGCGACTAAAGGGTCATAACACAATGTGCATCAAAAGGCCCTGTGACATAAAACGACTAATAAGTGACCATAAAAATACCATAAATAAATGTGGCAAACATATATAGAGTGCAACTAGTATAAAACAGAAAATGGTGATATAAACGCACAGTGAAACCAAATAAATGTATTACTGTGCACCGTAAAACACAATAACACAATGAATAAATAAATAGCATGTGACTAAAAAAATATCATAAATGTGACATAAAGTCCATGTGCAAAAACGTCCAACAAAAATGCATCCAAAAAAAAAAAAAACGTGGATAGGTAAATGATTAGTGAATCCCACACCGGCTAAAATGCCTCCTCACCTCCACGCCTAGACCCCCGGGCCAAAAGGCTTTCAGGACACTCACTGTAGGGGCCCTTTAAGTGGAATCCCAAACGGCGATGTAGGGCTGATATCCCTCTCACTGGTGGACCATACTGTTCAGCGGTGGTAATATATCTTTCACCTTTGGATACGGAAATCAGCCAGCGTACAGAACTCCTGCCAGGGGTTCGTTGGATCAGAAAAAAACAGCCAGCTCACAGCAATGTGAACAGATCAAACAAGGCATCAATCACATGTGCTGGGTGTACCAATATGGCTGTAGCCGTTCGTGTCGGAAATGACGCCACCCCATTCCACTCTCCGACCTATGCGTTACATCACTGTCACGTGACTTCATCAGGGTCCCTGATGCAGTCACCTCTGAGAGACTAGAGCTGAGGCAACTGGGAGAAAGTCCAGGGGGCCAGTAGAACCTGTGAGTCTTGGAGGAGAAAGAACGCCTGGAATATCAGAAGAACCTCTACATTGGGGTTGGAGAACCATATCTGGAGACCAGAAATGGGCCCGTGCAGCAAGGTACTGCAATGAAAGTGAGCCTAAGATCCAGGTGGCTTGGCATTATTGTTTTGTGTGAAGCTGAAAGCCCGTGCGTGGGAAACCCTTTGTTATAAAGACTTTCTTTTTTTTTTCTTCTTTTTAATAAAACTGGACTACAGGCCCGTAACTATAGTTCTTGTCTGCCGTGGATCTCTGTACAAACGCATCTACCATGACAGCTATCATCCACCATATCGCATTCTGTATATGATACTGATTATAAATGCATGCTTAGAGACAACGTGCCTGATAACCAAACATCATAAGGTAAAGTCATTGAAATTGTGTTTGTGCTTGGCAACCTGTAACAGGAAATCACATATTGTTAATATTCTTCCTGTCACACTATCAGTTTCCTGTGATCTCCTAAAATACTTAACCTGTCAACAGAAGAATACGCACCGTTCAGTCTATGGATTAAAGGTTACATCAACCAAAACTGAAGCTTTGAGTAGATGAAAGTGGTTTGAAATAATGAAAGTGGCTTAAAATATTAAAGTCCAACTCCATTGAAAACTTTTATGTTAGTTTATGATGGAGAATGGAAGGTTTAGAGCCTGTGTGTCCCTATAGAAGATAATACTCGTTTTTTCTTGATAGGAAAGGAAGTTAAGAGAAATCTCTCTTAGGCTCAACTAGGTAGTGCCAAGGCTTGCCTGATCAGATAACTACTGATTTGGTGAGCCTGAAATTGATGGCACAAAGACTGCATTATCAGATTGTGCTATGTCTGGTGACTGTGATGAGAACAGAGACAAGTCCAGGAGGATTCAGGCAACATTTGCTAGTTTGAGGCAAACTCCAATAGGGCAAATTTGCTACAATCAAATCATCTGGTGAATCTGGATCTCTCATCTCGATTGGGGACATCCAGCACCATCCATCGCCTTTGCTTCCCAGTCTGACTGTCCCTAGCCCATCCCTTTCTTTCATTGGATTTCAGTTCTCTTAATCACAAAGGCTCAGAATCACGTCGGTGTAACCACAGCTTCCTGTTGTCAGAAAGCTATGTACAGCACCCTGCCAGCCCCTCCCACCAGCCATGATCTGTCTGCATTGCATACAGAAACGCAGAGACATAGTGATGATGGAAGGAAGGAACCAGAGAAGGCAAACTATAAGAGGTTTAAACTTTAGCTTTAAAGGCTAAGTTCACCTTTGTGAAAAAATAATAAATGCACATATTTTTGCAGGGACAAAAATGTGGATTTATTACTTTTTCCACAGGAGCTTTCAGAGCATTGCATCCGCAGTCAGTGGATCACGGGTGCAATGCCAGACTAGTGCAAACACTGTCTACAGCATGTCTCTGTATGTGCTTTCAGTTACAGAGTTGAAGGCAGTGTGAAAAAACTATGAGCATGCTGATTTGCTGCGGTGGCAGACAGGGCTTGTAGTTCTTTCATTCACAGATTGATGTGAATGAATGATGCGGCTGTGTGGGGACGGAAACATTTTCAAAATGTGATAGCAGATGTGAGGAGCAGAACCCCCTGCGTGTTGTCACAGGGAGGGATGCTCTGGTGGTGTGGGGGGCAGGTGAATAGGAGCTTGTTACATATTACACCCTAAATATGGGTTTAACATGTAACATGTTTCTAAAGGTGAACCTATCCTTTAACTTTTCATTACATATAATGCACGGGAATCGTAGACTTTTTGATTGGTTTGGTAATCTTTAGAATACACAGGAAAGGTTCCAGCATTTGGTAATGACCGTGGCAGTAGGCTGGGCCAGGAACTTTCCATTGCTATAAGTAGCTAGATAGTCCACATCTTACCTAGAGCTCCTTGACAAATGTCTGTGCGGGTTGCTCCTCCTGAGATGAACTGAGGGCTGGAACACAACTCCTAGAAAGCAAACAGGACATACTATTAACAAAGTACAGTGCATTAGTGCAGTTAAACGGGTTTTGATGAAAGGTCTTCTTCCTTTCACCTCTATACATAACATTTATGTCACTGCTGGGATGAAGAGAGGGGATAAACTATAGAGTGTCACTTCAGTGTGCCTACTGGGGCTGGTGACATCACTTACAAGATGGCGGTGGCCGCCAGCAGTCTCAAATTTTGGACGTCTATAGAGGCTTTCACAGGTAAATAACATGTCAAAAATATGTTAAATGCACATACCGTATTATCCTATGGGAAGATTTTTGTTGCAATGAATAGTCTAGTGAAAGGGTAATTTTAAAATTGAAAAGTATAACAATTTCCATCCACCAAGGATTGTCCACGGCTGCCTGCATTGTACCAGATCCACCCCATCCCCCACATGCATATAACGACAGGGTGCTCATCTTTAGTCCAACATAAACATTCTAAAAATATATACAAATAAAGAAAAGTGGTCCACAGACTTCCTGCCATGTCCATGGATGTGCGCCAAGCTGCTCTTTACCTTATTCCTTTAGTTAATGGAATCCTCCATAATGGGTGCTGCTGACTCTTCATTTTCTGAGAGGCAGACAGAAGTCAGATTGTACTTCCCACATATAATCAGAACAAAGAGCTAACTGTAACGGCTATTAATGTCCGTAATGACAAAACCTAGAAGCTTTGCAGGGTTATTGAAGATAAAGGTGGCTGCACATTCATGGTGGCCAGAATTCTGGAGTTGCCAGGTCCTGGTCAGGCATGATGCAGTGCTGGTGACCTCAACCCCAGAACTAAAACCACTACCTCAATGATCAAGCAATGATGGCCACCAGAGCAGGATGGAAGCCTTGTGCCTTGTAACAGTTATCCTCATAAGTCCTCTTTATAGGTCACGTGAGAAAATGTTCCATCTACACCAGTTTCACATACAGCATACCTAGTCAGTGGCTGAAAAGCACAGAACTGTGTGAAAATCCTTTGATCTACACGTAACCAAAACCAAATAGTATTGTTACAATGTGTTGACATGGTACTTGAAAAAAATGGACTTACAAAATCCAACAGTAAGGCCCCTAGACACTAGTGTGAGCCGCCAGGCCCGCAATTGCGAGGGCATGCCAGCCCGTTCATTTGAATGGGTTGCTGTGCCCGCGTTTCACGCAAGGAAAAGGTGAATGCACCTTTTCCAAAACGCATCCACACAGAACCGCATGGTCTTTTTGACCATGTGGATTCTGTGCAGTTCCCACATCAGAATGAGATGTGTGGGGGCATTCAGAATGAATGGCACCTTGCAAGTCTCGCAAGAGAAACGCAATGTGGTTGTAGGTGTGGGAATTGCATCGATTCCCGCACCCCAGGGCTATCTTGGGCCCCCCCCCCATGAAATTTTGCTCTCCACCTGCTCTGAGACATGCAATAAATACAGTTGCAAGAAAAAGTATGTGAACCCCTTGGGATTATGTGGAGTTTTTGCATGAATTGGGCATAAAATGTGCTCTGAATGTCATCTAAGTCACAACAATAGAAGAACACAGTCTGCTGAACATAATACTACACAAACATTAGATGTTGCCATGGTTTAATTGCACATAACATGTAAACATTCACAGTGCAGGGAGGAAAAAGTATCTGAACCTTTGAACTTAATAACTGGTTGACCCTCCTTTGGCAGCAATAACCTCAACCAAACGTTTCCTGTAGTTGGAGATCAGACCTGCACAATGATCTGGAGTAATTTTGGACCACTCTTCTTCACAAAACTGTTTCAGTGTAGCAATATTCTTGGGATGTCTGGTGTGAATCGCTCTCTTAAGGTCATGCCACAGCATTTCAATGGGGTTGAGGTCAGGACTCTGACTGGGCCACTCCAGAAGGCGTATTCTGTGCTGTTGCAGCCATTGTTTTGTTGAATGACTTGTATGCTTTGGTTCATTGTCCTGTTGCATCACCCAATTTTCTGCGGAGCTTCAGTTGGCGGACAGATGGTCATACGTTTTCCTGCAAAAAGTCTTGATAAACTCTGGAATTCATTTTCCCATCAATGACAACAATCCGTCCAGGCCCTGAGGCAGCAAAGCAGCCCCAAACCATGATGCTCCCTCCGCCATGTTTTACAGTGGGGATGAGGTTTTGATGTTGGTGTGCTGTGCCTTTTTTTCTCCACACATAGTGTTGTGTGTTCTTCCCAAACAACTCAATCTTGGTGTCATCTGTCCACAGTATATTCTGCCAGTAGTGCTGTGGAACATCCAGGTGCTCTTTTGCAAACTTCAAACGTGCTGCAATATTCTTTTTGGACATCAATGGCTTCCTCCGTGGTGTCCTCCGATGTACTACATTCTTGTTTAATGTTTTCCTTATTGTAGATGTGTCAACAAAAATGTTAGCATGTGCCAGAGATTTCTGTAGGTCTTTAGCTGACACTCTGGGATTCTTCTTTACCTCATGCAGCATTCTGCGCTGTGCTCTTGCAGTCATTTTTACAGGACGACCACACCTAGGGAGAGTAGCAACAGTGCTAAACTTTCTCCATTTGTAGACAGTCTGTCTTACAGTGGACACATGAACATCAAGGCTTTTGGAGATACTTTTGTAACCCTTTCCAGCTTCATGCAAGTCAACAATTCTTGATCGTAGGTCTTTTGAGAGCTCTTTTCTGCGAGGCATGGTTCACATCAGACAGTGCTTCTTGAAACCAGTAAACCCAAAACAGGTGTGTGTTTTTTAAGGGCAGGACAGCTGTCAGCAACACATCCAATATCATCACACTGATTGGAGTCAAGGTTGGCTCACTCCTGGCTCCAATTAGCTCTGGGAGAAGTCATTAAGCTAGGGCCTCACATACTTTTTCCTCCCTGCACTGTGAATGTTTACATGTTATGTGCAATTAAACCATGGCAACATCTAATGTTTGTGTTGTATTATGTTCAGCAGATTGTGTTCTTCTATTGTTGTGACTTAGATGACGTTCAGAGCACATTTTATGCCCAATTCATGCAAAACTCCACTTAATCCCAAGGGGTTCACATACTTTTTCTTGCAACTGTAGCTAAACTCAAAATCAGATTACAGCAGATCAGGCAGCAAATGCAATTGATTGCCGGAGGTTACAGCACATCATTACTACTCACTAATTGGTTACTACAGGTTTTCTGCACATCCTTACCGCTGACTGATTGGCTGCTAGAGGTTACTGGACATCATTACTGGTCACTGGTTGGTTTCTAGAGGCTACTGTACATTAATACAGCTCACTCATTGGTTGCTAGAGGTTACTGCACATCCTTACCACTCACTGATTGGTTGCTGAAGGTTACAGCACATCATCTCACTGCCTGCATACGATGAACTGAGAAGGTTAGGGAACCGACCAATAGAAAGAAAACTCCTAGGACTTATGGGATCAATGGCAATTCTGGGCGGGAGGGTTGATGGGGTCAGTGACAGTGGTGGGGAGGATGGGATAAGTGGCAGTGGTGGAGAGGATGGGATGAATGACAGTGCTGATGGGGGGATGGGATCAGTGGCAGTTCTTGGAGGGAATGGGATCAATGGCAGTGCTGGATGGGAGGTGACATTTCTACACCGACCATCAATTTTAGGGGGGATTAAAACTGATGACCAATGTAAGGGGGATTTACTCTGATCACCAGTGTAAGGGCAATTCTACACTTACCACCAATGTAAAGGGAAATTTACACTGGCCACCAATGTAATGAAGAATTTACACTGACATCCAATGCAATGGGGGATTTTACACCAACAACCAATAAAGTTCTACACTAGCCACCAGTGTAAGGGGGAATTTACACTGACCACCAGCAGAGGTGATGGTGACTGGAACCTTGGGGGGGCAAAATATGCATATGAATGCCATATTGTCATCACTATTTACATATGAATGCCACACTGCAACAGCTATTTACAAATGAATGCCACATTTACAGATGAATGTTGCCGTTATTTACATGTGAATGCTGACACTGTCTGCACACCTGAGTCATCTGTACATGGCAATAGGGCAGAGCTGGGCAGCATAAGTGACAGCACTTCACACTGAGATATCTGACACAGCCTGGGACAAAGACTTCCAGGGACAAATTAATGTAAACCAATACAGCTGGCGAGTATGGGACAGCTGCTTTGGGTCCCACAATAATGACTGGGCTCAGGGCAGCTGCCCCTTCTGCCCCTCCTTAAAGACAGCCCTGGCACCCACAGCCAGCCTGCAGCATGTGGGCTAGTGTGCACCAGGGTGACTGTCCAGAGTCTCCAGTAAACAAAGTTTAGAAACAACACAAAGTAAAAATGCACATTGTTTCAAAGATTACCATACACCCAAAATACTGTGTGTACTGAAACCCAACATAGTATGCTAAACAGTATTATATAAATAAAATATATATTTTAAAATATATTAAATGGGGGAGAGGGAGCAATGAAGGAACCACTTAGGCTTACTGACACCTATCTACAATGGTGTGTTGTGGTACCACTCATGAGGACCCCACATTCCAGAGGTGAAGTAAGAGTGGAGTAGAGCTCCAGCTGCTGGGAAGCAAGGATTAAAGTAAAAATTCCTCTTTTATATCCCACAGACCAAATGAGCAGTATATTCTTAAACTGGCCACAGAGATGATTTTTTTTTCTGTTGAAAAAAAAAACAGATTCCTCCATCCACACAAATAAGGTCGATGAAGGACTCTCTCCCCCATTGGGACATTGTATTCTGATGGTGGGACTCTCCACAATACACTGATCAGTGGATGCAGCCACCGATCAACAAATGTTTTCCAACATTTTCATTCAACAGAAGTCAATTGTTAGAACACATACGGCCACCCATGGATCAAAATTTGTCTGGTCCGCGCTAAACCGGACGAACTTTGATTCATCTATAGCCAGCTCTACTTTACAGAGTATATAATATTTTTATAATCTGACTGGAACGCAGATTTAAGTTGACCAAA